GGGGGGTTGCCAGCCAGCACCCCGCGGGGCAGCCCGCAGGGAGCCGGCCATCCCTCTCCGGGCCGGGAGCAGAGGAGGATGGAGCCAGCCCCCCGCCTGGGAATTGGGGTGGGCAGTGCCAGCTGTTTGCTTCGGACACGTCACGCCATCTCCTTCAACAGCAAGGTGACAGGCGGGACACCCAAGGGTGGACGAGCTGTCCCCAGAGTTCGACAGCCCCGTTTTAGCGCTGTGCCCCCACCCTTTCAGAGCTCCTGCATGGAGGCTCCCCATGGAGCCCATGGAGCCCTTTTCTTCCCGCTGCCCAGGATGCCGCAGGCCCAGCTTCCAGCCTTGACTCGCAGCCAGGCGAATGCTTCGGGGTGCAGGAGCGTGCCGGGGAGAGCAAACTCACCGGTACCCTCCGCTCCTCCGAGCGTGTTGGACTGGCCGGGAAGGGTCTGGTTTTGCAACCAGGAGAGCACGGAGGCCTGGCGCAGGGTGCCGCAGGCGGGTGTGATGTTTGCTCTCCGGGCCCATGCCGCTCGGGGTGGATTAGACCGGTTTCGGGTGATCCAGGCGGACTGCGCATTAACACTATTTTTGAATGGTTAGACAGTGCGTTGCCTTTTGTGGTTTCGTGTGCCAGACGGGGACGGAACACGCTTGGAACTCATTTAATGGGAGGGTTTTAAATATTTTTTTCAATTTTACCTTGCAGTGGCATATTCAAAACAAAGCCGTGCCTTTATCAAAACATAAAAGGTCACCGTGGTGAGACGCTCAGCCCCTGTCTAGTCAGAAACACAGCAAAAGGCCTTTAAATAAACACATGGAACAGAAAACAATTAGAACAATTTGCAGCGATTACCAGAGGTTCCCGTCTGTTCTGTGTCTCTGGCTGGCACAAACGCCTTTTTCACAGCTCTGGTTAGTCTCTCCTGCTCACAGGGGGAATGGGAGACCACAGCTTAGCCGAGGATGCGCTGGGATAGCCGGAAAGCACAGTGTCCCTGCAAGGAGACCCAGCCGCACAAGCATGACAAAATACACCAATGAAGGGGGAATCCCAGGAGTCTTGGCTGGAAAAAGCCTAGATCCCACCTGGTTTACAAATATATGGAGGCTGGAACTTCTTCCTGTGCTGGTGAGGGCCTGGGAGTCAAACTGGCCTCCCCAGCTACCCTGCCTTACCTTGAGCAGCAGTTTCTGAATTCTGATACAGATCCCAAATAGAGCAAAGTCAGCTCGTAATTCCCCATTTGTGGTTGCTCTGGGGTTTTGCTGGCCATGTAGCTTTTAATAGGATTTAAAAAGTAATGTCTTACCCTTGGAGGTATTTTTCTTTGCCTTTTTTTAACCATTCTTTTGCCTGGAGACTCTGAAGAACCCCCAGGAGCATCCTCAGGGGTCCTGCTTTGCGCTCCTTCAGCGTAGCTGAGGGTCTCACCCTCCCCACTGGGGTACAGACAGCATCAGGTCAGCATTATTTTTCAGTTCTACTCTTGCAGTCAGGCTGTGCCCACAGGATGAGAGAGAGGAGAGTGGGTGAGCTGCTCCAAGCCAACCAGGAAGAGACATTCAGCGGTGAGGCTTTACGCTGTGCTTTATCTGCCTTTTGTCTGGTTTGATTTTTGCGGGTAGATAACAGGATTTCAGTCTCTAGCCAAGTGTCTCAAACATGCCACTAATTATTAAAAAGAAAAAAAAAAAGCCAGTTGAAACTCAGATGTTGGTGTTCACCCAAATCTTCCTGCAGAAATACCCACACGCAAGCTGAAATCACTGCAGTTACACATTAAACTAAATGGCCAGTTCAGTTTCACAGTGTTAAAACAGCTCCACAATCACATCAGTAGGGACTAGGTGAGTATGAAATCCTCTTCCGTGTGCATTTTTGCCTGGAACACGAAGTCCCTGTCTTTGCATGAAGCTGTGTACCTCTGATGCAGTTTATCTGCACTGGCATATACCTGGCTGCCGTTACGAAGATCTTGTCTCAGATGTTGATTACACATCCTGGAAACATGATGAAGTCCTTGCCAAGTCTTCACACACTTAAGCCTGCTACAGTTCTTGGTTTTGGGGGATGGTAATTAATTAATATAATAGGTTACCTTGGCCACGGTCATTAAACTTCCCTTTTAAATGCAGGATTTTAAAGGAAAGCCAGTTATTGATGAATACAAAAGCATTACCCAGTTTTCAGAAAATGTTATGTTCCCTTACACAGAAAGAATCTTCCAAACTCTCTCCTCTTGGGTACTGAAACACATGCAATGACTTGTCATGTATGGTGAAAACCTTTCTCCTGACTATCACCAATTAAAAATGGGTATTTAGTCTTTAATTTAAGTATGTACGTTGCTTTTATGGTCAGCAGAAAGAGAAACTGCAAAGCACAATCCATCCTCTCTTAAAACAGACCACTGAGATAGGTAGGATGAATGGAGACCTTATTGCAGCCTTCCAGTACCTGAAGGGGCTACAAGGAAGCTGGGAGGAGACTTTTTCCAAGGGCCTATAGTGACAGGACAAGGGGTAATGGGTTTAAATTGAAAGCGGGGAGGTTTAGATTAGATATCAGGCAGAAATTCTTTCCCGGAGAGGTTGGTGAGGCCCTGGAACAGGTTGCCCAGAGAAGCTGTGGATGCCCCATCCCTGGAAGTGTTCCAGGCCAGGCTGGATGAGGCTTGGAGCAACCTGGTCTAGTGGAAGGTGTCCCTGCCCATGGCAGGGGGGTTGGAACTGGATGGTCTTTAAGGTCCCTTCCAACCCAAACCCTTCCGTGATTCTATGAATTACGCCCCTGAGGTCCCACCCTGCTCCAGACGGTTGGCGCAGCATCACCTCCACACTCATTGCCCTCCTCTGTCTTTCAGCTCCTGCAGTCTCGTTAGTCGTCCCACAACCCAACATCAACGCAACCGTGGCACAAAACCTCCTGCTCTCAGTTGAATACTCTTGCAGAGGCGTCGCCACCATCGAGTGGAAGCATGTGTCGAGCTGGGGCACCACCAAAATTGTTGAGTGGAAAAGTGGGAATTATGTCAATATATCCGCGGTCTACAAGGACAGAGTGACTACTTTTGACAATGGCTCTATACAGCTTCTGAACGTGGGCATGAGAGATGCCGGCTACTATTTTGTCACTGTAACAGAGGAGTATGGAAGCAACACCTACGGCACCATCATAGTCAACGTTTACGGTACAAACTGGATGGGAGTTCCTGGCTTCCCCCTGTGTTTAAACATTAATTTGCTTGTAATCAATTTAATATTTGTTTTCCTGTCCTCCCCGCAGAGATTATCTATGAAGATTTACATTTTGTGGCAGTTCTCCTTGCATTTCTCACCGCAGTATCTGCCGTTTTGATCTGCTTCATGTGGCTGTGTAATAAATCCCTGCATCTGTTTCAGAAGAAGAGGGCACACAAATTAACAGGTACCTCTGTAAGAATGCAGTCGAGCTATAGGATTTTCAAGTCTGAATTTTGAGCCTAAAATTCACTTGTGATTTGAGCCATAAAGGTGCTAAGCAGGGACACCGAGAAACAAGGCTGGAAGGGCTCAATTCAGTTATCCTGTTCAGCTCTTCGCTAGCCAAGGCAAGTGAATAATAGCTATTTAGCTGCAGAACAGTCCACAGGACATCTACTTTATACATTTTACATCAGAAACCATGAAACGCTTCCCAGCATTGCCAACTGCAGATGTTAGGGAGAAAAGGCCAGAGCTGCAATAGTCCATCAGAGAGCAGGAGACAGTCAAGAGCATCAGCAACGCTCTCAGGGGCTGCACCAGCAGGGTATTTCCTAAGGGAAAATACTCAAATGGCCCCTGGGAGTGGTTCCCATCCCACTTCATGGAGGACTGCACCCCTCCCTCTCCTCTCAAATCCCCCTTTCTTCTGTCCTCACGTTTGATCCAGTTGCAGACTCCAGTGAACACTGACTGATCAAACCCAGAGTTCTGACACGCAACGAAGACACCAGTCACGAAACACAAAGGCTGCTCGAAGGGAACATTCGCATATTAGAGAAGAAATTTCCAAGCCACAGCCAGGGATATTCATCCTAGGCTGCAAGACAAAGTGCCATGCAACGGGCTTGGGCTCAAGCTCTCGGTACGTCCTTGGAACAGGACGTTCCTTTAACCACTCCAAAACATTTTAGGTGTTCGCCTCCTTTCTTTGTAAGTGCAGATTCGCTAGTGGTTTCTTGCCCTGTAGGTAAAAGGTCTGTATTTCTTCTCTAACAAGCGCTGCTTAAGCTGTGACATTACAACAAGCAGCCCAAGTATCAGTATTTTACTAGACCAACACAGATACTCAACAATCCCAAGCCTTACGGCCCAGACTTTGCATCAACTCCGCAAAACCCAATACAAGAGATTAATTAGGCTCGAGCTGCCTCTTCCTTTCTGCTGCTCACCTACAGGTCTAAGGGCTGCTGCTGTTTTCACCATGTACACACTGCTCGCAAGCTTCTGTAGCTACTGTAAATTTTCCTATTGTGCCAGAACACACAGGCTTTTACAGAATCATAGAATCATGGAATGGTTTGGGTTGGAAGGGACCTTAAAGATCATCTAGTTCCACCCCTCCTGCCATGGGCAGGGACACCTTCCACTAGACCAGGTTGCTCCAAGCCTCATCCAGCCTGGCCTTGAACACTTCCAGGGATGGGGCATCCACAGCTTCTCTGGGCAACCTGTTCCAGTGCCTCACCACCCTCTCCGGGCAGAATTTCTTCCTGATATCTAATCTAAACCTCCCCACTTTCAATTGAAACCCGTTTCTCCTTGTCCTGTCACTACCCTGGAAAAAGCTTTTTCTTCCTCCAGTTAAATCCAGTGTTCCTACATTGCTGAATCAGATACAGTTATTTGGTGGAGTTCAGGAAAACCAACTCTGGGTTGGTTTACCAGTGTTTAACCACCGCTCTGGACATTTGCTCTGTTGTCTCCCAGGACGTATTCCAAAGCAGGGACCTGCCTTCTGCCCCAAGTCTACCTTAGAAGAGCCCTCCTTTCAGAAGTCAGAAGTGTAAGGATGGGCCCCATGGACTTCAGTTTTCATAGTGCCTTTAGTCTTGTATTAGAAAAAAAACAATGTCACATTAAAGATTCTGAGGGACTTTTTATGCAGTTAAATAATTTGAAAACATGTATTTAAAACCTAATTGTCGATGAGTAAGCCTGAGCTAATATTAAAAAGTTAAAAACCTCTCAGCTATTAACACAGCACTGTTAATTTTGGAATGCTGGCCCTCCAAATCCATATGCCAATCAATAATAATACCCTTTTATTTGCAGCAAGTGCAACTGAAGAGATTGAATTGGACACCATTGAGTGTTAGCCAAGGACTGTCTCATAACAAAAATAACAATTCTACCTCAGGAGAAAGTATTGGCAAAGAAAGAGAGAAGAAGCCTAAAAGGTAACATGTTTGTGACTTCTGTAGAAACATGTGACTTGCAAACTAATTAGACATGAAATCAGCAGTGTCTGATGAAGCTGTTTTGACCTGTCAAGTTTTCGGCTCTGCTAGCCAAGGCTGAAGTAAAAGAAGTCTGCTTTCATGCTGAGCACAAACACATTTTTGTGGCCAATTAATAAAATCTGCAGCTTCTACCACTCTTGAAAACAACCAACCAACCAAACCTCTAAGATTAACCCAGAAAGGAAACGATCATGGGCTTGAAGGACACCTGTATTTTGGCTACAGCAAGTCTCCTATTACAGAAAGAGCACCCATTAGCATCCTTCAACATAATAAATACGTCTAATTACAGTATTACATGAAAAAATTAATTGCAAGGATTGAATCCTGTTTATTGCGCCTGTGCTGCTACTTCTGGGTGTAAGGAATTTCCTGAAGCTCCGAAGACGAACTGTAATTCTTCACGAGACAAAACTGACTTTGAAACAACACTGAGCTGGTCAAAGTTTCCCCACTTACGTTTCCAGTTGTTTACACTGCCCCAGGATATCAGCACACGTTTTATGACATTACTGGGAAAGGTGGTTAAACAAGGAACTGCACGCTGAAGGGGACGTAGAGGGCTCAGATAAAATACAACATCGCAGCAGCGGGGTGGCAAAACACGACACCGTTTCGTTGTGAAAGATGTTGAGCCCTTTGCAAACAGCCCACCGACGAAGAGCGGGAAGAAAAGTTAAAACAGCACTGCTCTGAAATTTAGTATTTACAAATGCAGTTCTGAAAGTGTTCGTGCTGAGAAGCCACCTTCGCTCTCCTGCGCTATAAGAAAACACAAAGTGATCTAACTAGTGTTTTCTCGAACGTGTGTGTCACTTGTATTTTCCACCTGCACATCTTCTGGGGGCAATAACATTTGCTTTTGTGAGTGAGAAAGCCCTACACTGATCAGGCTTCAACTCATCCCGTTTTGATTTTGTGAAGAGAATAATCCTGCAGTGTGAAATAAACTCTGAACACGCAGGAGACCATGGACTAGTCTGTCTGCAGCCGTGGCTTTTTGAGCTGAACTGCTACTGCCTCTTGCACGCTTCAGCTCGCTGGTTCGCATACGGCTTTTACAAGACGGGCTGTCAGATCCTCCCCTCTGGCCAGGGACCGCGACACTCAGGTGCAGAGGTATGAGGAGTTAGAGACAGAAAAGCAATTTCACACCAAGTGCGTAACAGTGCAAACAGGCTCTTCCCAAAGCACCCTGCGCACGAGACTTTAAAAGTCATCCCCAGATTGAACTGGCTTCTCACTCACTCATAAATTCGGGTACCAGGTTCAGCTGGTCGCTCCTTCCTGCATCTAGGATAAGAGGCCAAAAAAAGTGAGAAATTTAAAAAAAAGCACAGCTACAGCACAGCTTGGCAAAGTACGTTGTTCTAATTCTTCACTTTAAGTATATATTACCAGTCTTCTGTACCTTGGAGTGAATTAAGCTTTGATGACAAAGAAGTTGTAAGTGCATCTATTTTAATCATCAAGCTTGAAGTATTTTGTAAAGTATCCATATAGCGTATGGAAAAACATTAATAAATGTTGGGGTTTTTTTTTCCTGTTTATCTGTTCCAGATTATTTTTTTAATCCCCGAATTTTAGAACTTGAACGTGAAGTTACGCATTAGGCTCAGCTGAGTACATAGCAGGGGCACTGCCAGACTCCTGGAGAAAGGACAGACACGTAACACCACTCCGATCTGCTCACGCTGACCCAAACGCTGTAACTGCCCAAGTCGGGAAACGTATAGAGACACTAATGCCCCTGTGAATGCACGGCTGTAATTGCACAGAGGGCTTACACTTCTGAACTGCAGTGTTCGAAAGCTGGAGTGAAAGCAGGGAAAGACCATTTTAAATTCATCGATTTAAGATGCACATTAACAGCAGCAAGAGGTTCACGACTAGCACTACCCCTCCCAGCCTGGCTAGAGAGCCAGCAATTGCAGGCACCCGTCCTTGGCTACTGACGCTGGTGCCAGCCTTGCTTTTAGGTGGCAACATCCTAGATGAACACAGGGATGCAAGTAACACTCGGTGAGGACAGGACATGCAGTACAGTTAGCCCACATACTGCTTTCCTCAACCACAATTCCTCACTCCCACGTTCTACCCAGAATTTAACATGCTTACTCTATATGCAAGAGTCTATGGTCACTTATAACATACCCACGTTTTCCCAAACTGAAGTTTGCCAATATGCATTATTAATGTCAGCAACATCTGATCCACAGAAAGTGAGGCTAAGCTGTCCGCAGCAGTTTCGTGCTACACTGGAGGTGTCTGAAGTATCTAAAGTCTTACAGCAAGCTGCTGAAGTGGAAGTTTAGAAATTAATAGCTGTTCTTACTGCACTTGTAAACTCCAGGCACAGCAGCAGCAAATTCAGAGCATTCCAAGTGATCAAAGGGATTAAGGCATTTTGCATTTCAACTTTGAGATGTCCATTTTCACAGGTTTGCTTTGGCAATCAACTGTAAACGCCCTAACCATCCCCTGATGTCTTCATTGCATGTTCAAAGATGCATTACTAATAATTTCACAGAAACACAGAATCACAGAATGGTTTGGGTTGGAAGGGACCTTAAAGATCATCTAGTTCCAACCCCCCTGCCATGGGCAGGGACACCTTCCACTAGACCAGGTTGCTCAAAGCCTCATCCAGCCTGGCCTTGAACCCTTCCAGGGATCGGGCATCCACAACATGTTCATGTTCAACACGGAGCAACTTGTTCCAGTACCTCACCACCCTCTCCATGAAGAACTTTTTCCTGATATCTAATCTAAACCTCCCCGTTCTCAATTTAAACCCGTTACCCCTTGTCCTGTCACTACAGACCCTTGTAAAAAGTCCCATCCCAGCTCCCTTGTAGCCCCCTTCAGGTACTGGAAGGTGCTATAAGGAGCCTATCCTTATATTCAACACTGTCCTTCTGTTAAAAGCCTAATCAATCTGTTTTCCATTAAAATTAGGAATCCCTGTGTATTCAACTTGGTATTACTCGGTAATGAAGAGCAGATGTGACGCAGAGGCCATCACTACTTGCAGACCTGTCAATGTAGGTTAAGAACAGCAAAGTGTAAAGACACTTGTAAGTTTCATATGCTCACCTTGCAATTTCTGCAAGAGGAGATCTGTTGTGTTGCCAAGAGTCAAAAGAGCCTCGTAAAATTGGGCGCACATCAGATGCATCAGACTGTTGGCTGAACTATTCCCCAAAGAACAAAAGGCCCTCTCGGCCTGGAATTGCAGTGCCTGCCGGCCAGGCAATACTAACCCTGGCATCACGGGTGTCATGTGAGATTCCCCTACTTTTCAAGAAGATCACGAGACTATTTTCAACTAGTATTTTTTCATTTGTCTGAGTTGTCTTAACTTACACAAATGAAAAAATACTAGTTGAAAATAGTGTAAGTGAAAGTGAAAATTTGTGTAAGTTAAGACAACTTACACAAATGAAAAAATACTAGTTGAAAATAGTGTAAGTGAAAGTGAAAATTTGTGTAAGTTAAGACAACTTACACAAATGAAACAATACTAGTTGAAAATAGTGTAAGTGAAAGTGAAAATTTGTGTAAGTTAAGACAACTTACACAAATGAAAAAATACTAGTTGAAAATAGTGTAAGTGAAAGTGAAAATTTGTGTAAGTTAAGACAACTTACACAAATGAAACAATACTAGTTGAAAATAGTGTAAGTGAAAGTGAAAATTTGTGTAAGTTAAGACAACTTACACAAATGAAAAAATACTAGTTGAAAATAGTCTCGTGATCTTCTTGAAAAGTGGGGGAATCTCACATGACACCCGTGATGCCAGGGTTAGTATTGCCTGGCCGGCAGGCACTGCAATTCCAGGCCGAGAGGGCCTTTTGTTCTTTGGGGAATAGTTCAGCCAACAGTCTGATGCATCTGATGTGCGCCCGATTTTACGAGGCTCTTTTGAGAGTAACTGGTGAGACGCTGAAAGGAAGACCCTTTCTCTTCCACAGTTCAGTTGCACAGAAGCAAGTACTTCAAGGAACTAAAATCACACGATGTTCCACACCAGCAAACACCAACACAGCAGCTGCTTTGGATGCAGACTGAGCAGCAGCTTGCCACACGCAATTGCTTAATATTTAGTTCCTACAACTATGCTTTATTGCTCGAGAACACGGCAAAATAACAACTGTCACCGTACAAATCGGATGCCCGGTTCAAACATGTCCTGTGTGCAAGCAGTTCTCATGTCTGTATTTATACACACCCCCTCCTAACACACTACGACAGATCTCTGAGCAGGCCCATACTGACAGGTTTCAAAAGACCTTTAGCATGCAATCATCAAAATGAAAAGCTGTGTGCAAAACCTTACTAGAAGCTTCCAGAAGCCTATAATTACAACCAAAAAAAGACAAAAATGATTTTTTTAAATTTTAAAGGAACTCAAAAGAGCTGATCTTCAGGAGGATGATTATCATCATCCCTGGATGATAATCAGTGCCAGCGCAGGGGAAAAAGAGAGAGAGCAGCAGAGTGTGGAAATCCAAGGTCTGCATGAGAGTTACCTGCTTCTATCCAGACATGGATCCTCACAAGTTCCCCACAAACTCAAACCATCACAGTTGTGCAAGCAGAGTAAGACCCTTTCCTCTACATGCTTGCAAAAAACAAGGACAGAAAACACAAGCAGAGTAACCGACACCACACAGCTTCACCTGCCTGTATCAGACAGGAAAGACGTTTGTCCCAAGTTGTGACTTCTTAACTCTCTGAGCTTAAACAAATTGCTAAGCAAATAAACCTCCCCAAAAGAAATGGGTCACCCAGAAGCCACATCAACGTAGTTAACACAAACCAACCCCACGACATCACGTGGTGAAGACTTCCTTGAATCTCGAGTTTTGTTGAGCCTCAGTTCATGACAAGGGTGCTCTGCTCCTCCTCTGCTGACTTCTAATCAAACAAGTCCAGCAGCTTCCACAAGGACAGCCCTTCCCGGCGGTAGAAGCTACTAAAAGGCTTATCGACAGCACAATTCAGTTCTAGTGATTTTCATCTTCCAGAAATACTTGAAAAGATCTACTGAGAGAACGTAGGGGCAGGAAGGGAAGGGGAATGAGCCTGAGCAGACACCTTTCACACAGCAAAGATTACTGAATTTAATTTTAGAAAAGAAAAATACATGAGTGACTCAGCTATGTTCCTGTGCATACAGCAATCTGCAAAGATACAGTGGAAAGGAGCTTTTTCAACAAGTTCTGTTTTATATATCACTGAAAATGGTTTTATTACAAACACTACGGCGGGCATTCTGTACAGGAAAAAATTACCCCAGAGGTTCTGCTTCGCTACCCCAGAGGTTCCACTTCACTGCATGGGCAGCAATCGTCCGCAGCCCCGTGATGATTCAAAGCCGCCCCCGGGAGAGGCTGACGGATGATTAGCACGGAGTTAGGGCAGCCATCAGCAGTTCCATTTTATACACAAAGTTACGCCCTTCCATTTTATTCCACTGGACTTCCTTGAACGGCCCTCGAAGGTGATTCCACTTGTTGTCTTGCAGGACGTCGCCTTTGGGGAGATCCTTGCACTGACTCCGTGGAAACTGAACCATAACTTTGCTGCCACTTTCCGGACCATTACGTACTGTGATGAACAGAGATTTTTTAATGAGCATTTTTACACAGAGGAATTCCTTCCTCATGTATGCTACACATTACTCCTACTCCATTCCCAACATGCTGAAAGCAAACAAGGGAAATTACCTTTTTTTTTTAAAAAAAAAAAAAAAGTATTTCTCTTCAAATTCTCTCGTCTCCCACATCTGACTTTGTTCCTTTAGCACTGCACGTTCATGGTTATAGCAAACCAGAGAAACATTTGACCAAAAAACCCCACACATATGCTTTACAAATGCATTTCTTTTCCCCTAATGATGCCAGGAAAGGCAAATGGGGTTTTTTGGCAGTTCTTACCTTGAACGTGTTCCCCACCACTGTTGAAAAAGGTGACCAAAAATAGATTGTTTCTAATGGATTTCTCTCAAATGGACAGGAGTGAAGTCACTCGGGATAGCTGTGGCTTTTAATCACAAAACTCTGCAAGACTGGTGGAGGGGTAGTGGTGTTCTGTTGGCTTGGCTGGGGTTTTGTGTTGATGTTGGGGGGTGCTGGTGTATGTTTGTTTTTTAAACAAGCAATTAGGGAGATAACACTTAGCTTTCCCCTCACCTCCCAAGCTAGCCTTCTGCAAAGAGATAACGGGCTAACTGAACATAATTTCTGCTTCTTAAATCGATGCTGACTATTCCCCATCACCATCTTGTCCTTAATATGTTTGAAAACTGCTTCTGGGACTGGGGTTTTGCCTCATCTTCCCAGTGACCAGTTTGTAGTTCCCCAGATTCTCCTTCTTGAATATACAGTGTGACATCTGCCTTCTTCCAGTCCTCAGGAACCCTTCCTGATCACCACGACCTTCCAAAGGTGCTCAAGAGCGGCCTTACAGTGACATCAGCCAGCTCCTTCAGCACTCATGGATACATCCCACCTGGTCCAGGCTGTGTATGTCTAGTTTGTCCAAAGGTTCACTGACTCAATCCGCCCCTACTAAGGGTAATTCTTTGCTCCAAAACTTCCCATGGGTCTTAGGGACTGGGATTCCTGAAGGCAAATCTTAAGACCAGAGCAAAGAAGGCATTGAGTACACCGGGCTTCTCCAGGTCCTGGGCCACCAGGTCCTCTCCCCATGTAACAGCAGGCTCACATTTTCCCATTCTTCCTTTTGCTGCTAACATACCTGCTGAAGCTACTCTTAGAATCATAGAATGGTTTGGGTTGGAAGGGACCTCAAAGACCATCTAGTTCCAACCCCCCTGCCATGAGCAGGGACACCTTGTTGCCCTGTACATCCCTCACCAGATTCAACTGCGGATAGGCTTTGGCTTTCCTATCCCCATCAATGCAAGCTTGGACAGTCTATCTTCCTCCCTCAACTGATCCCACTCATAATCTCTTGGAGCTTCCTTTGTATGTCATGAGTTGAGTCACGAGCTCCCTGTTCATCCACACAGATGTCATCTTTGCAGAGCCTCCTGCACACAGGAATGACCATTCTTGAGCTTGAAAGAGGTGATCCTTGAAATACTCAACCATCTCTCTTGGACCCCTCTTCTCTTCATCCCACAGGATGGTATCCCATAGGATTCTTTCAAGAAACCCTGAAGAGATCAAACTCTCTTCTCATTAAGTCAAGAGTTGTAATCCTGGTGTCTCCCTTCTCTCAGGATCTCGATGGTTTCTGTAATCTGTTTTTCCTATGCTAATCCTGAGATATACTTTCAAGCCTGTGTAAACTAAATCACATTTATTTAAAGTGGCTTACTGGGCAAAGTGTTGATTCTATTGAGGTGTCAATTCCATACACAAAAGAGATCGGTTCTAGAATATTTTGCTACAAACTGACATTATTCTAAAAAAAGTCTAGAGACTATCTCAGGAAGAGACCTACAAAGCCTGTAGAATTTGCTTAAGAACGTTAAGATTTTCCATACATTTGGAATAGAAAACACTACCTGAAATGGCATAGTCTCCATTCGGTGATGCTACAGTTATTGCTGATGCATTGCCAATACTCTCCACCGGCCCCAGCCCAACATGGTTGCTGAAGCTCAGCACATGCCATCCCATAACCTTCGCAAGCTGCTGAACTGCATGCACTTGGTGCTGTGACATCTGAAAGGTAACAAGAGGTTCTGTTCAATATTTGCACACCACAGAAAGAATTGCTTACGAGTTTTACTGAGCATTTTTTTCTTCTGCTGTACAGTAGGTATTTATAAAAGTGACTTTGTCTTCTAAGTTCTCTAATTTCAGAGGAACTGTGGGGGTTTTTTTAACATATGTGTTAAATAAGTGCTAGTAGATCTTTGTGTTATCTGAATTTAGACTAGTTCCTTTGCAGACAAAGACAACCACTGCATTAAGCACACTATGTGGTTAGATGAATTTTTGTAGGCTTATGCATTTTGTTTAAGTATTGCTTTCAATTTACAAAACACCTTTATTTAGGTCTCAAGAACTAATTCACGTGACAGACAGGTTTATTTCCAAATCCTTTCTTTGAATGGAAATGAGACCTCTGCTCTCAAATAGATAAAATCTGTGAGGGGAGTATCATAGGAAACTCAGAAAACAAGTTGAGGTTCTCAGATGCATGATTATCTCCCTTAATGCTCAAGTGTAAGCACTGAGCTTTAACAGCTTAAAAGTTTAAACGCAAATGTTTTCCTGTATCAAGACTGAACACTTGTGACAAGAAGTAACTAGCACTGTTCAGCAATTCTCTGTGAATAACTCTGAAAACACCTGACCAAAAAGGGATATCTTCACTAGAATCTGTTTCAACCTGTTTTCTGTGTCACAGAGTTTCACATAACTGCAACAGGCCAACCACTGTTATTAAGGACCTGTATTTTGGCTATTTATAATGCATAGTAGGCAGACTGTCACTTTTGACTGAAACCAGCAGCTTGCTCCAAGCAATTCAGAAAACACAGTTCATTCAAGTATCAGCTGATTTAGTAATGGCTGATGCAAAGTGAACATTAACAAGACAATGTTGAAATGACAGTAATTGTGGGCTCATTAAGATCCCTGGGTAGAACTTGGCTACTCTAAGTTTCATACACACTGAACACCTTATTGTCTGCTATGACTCTCACTGACTTGTTCTGAAGAATGCAAAAATCTTAGTGCTCCCATAATTACCAGCATAAAGAAATGTATTTTAAATGTAGGAGGTGTGTGAGCAGCTTCATGGTATTTTATTGCTGGTTGGAGTTAAACCACGACAGAAGGGAAAAAACTTATTATTACTACTGACCTTAGTAAAAACTGCCATTATATTTTAGTAACAGTTGCTAAAGTCACTATAGAAACATACTGAAAAAATCAGTCATCGACCTTCCTATTTTCATTACCTTTATTTGAAGTTTTCTAACATTTTCTACACAGATAAAGGTGAGATTCTAAATACTTCTGTTTCCCAAACACTATGAGAAAGGGAAGAATAATGTACATGAGTCTACCTGAGATAAAAGGAAATCCTGCAGTTCTTGTTCTTGATGGGACAAGGTAATAACTCTTCCATCTCTATGCACAACTCTGATCTGTTCAACTCCTATGTTCAGCTGTAGCTGAATGGATCTTCGAAGACAAGACACGTATTTATTCAAAATGCATTACAACACTTAAGAAAACAGGAAGCTAAGAACACAGAATCCCTCCCATTCATTGACAAGCACTGTTACAATGAGGATGGTGCAAAGCCTCTAGAATATGACAGCAACTCCAAACATTTCCGTTTCAGCACTCACCACAACAGCCCCCTCTAAACTGCAGGAGACATATTCTGTGGCACGTTCCCACGCATGGTCCATGCTAGTTCAGGCCAAGGAACCTCCTGAGCTGCCTGACAGCTCCCTGCCTGCCACTTTGCCCAACTTTCCTTCCAGAGGCGCCAGGGAAAACGATGTGTACTCGGGGCCTGTTGTGTCCTACACCCAAGACTCGGGCTGCACGCATACTCTGGAGCTGAGATGGCAAACCGCATCAATGACCACAGCCTGCTCCGCAGCGTGGACACAGCCAGAGAGGACTGCTCAAAATGAAAACACCGGGTTCATCCACTGTCAACGCATTAGCTCATCCACTGCTGGTCAGCACGCTGACATTCATTTCTGGAACATGAAATCTCTTATTTTGCTGACAATGTGCATAACTAATAGCATGAGTTAGATGAATTCCACCTTCAGGACCTATGCAACCAAGCTAGGACTGAGCACTGACTAGCTCTCTGTGACCAGGCTGGAAGGTCAGAATCCGGCACATACAACAGATAGCTGAAGATGAAGTTTCCATATCCAAAGTAAATCCGCCCTTAAACGGCCACTTTCAGCATCAATTCCTTCTTTGAAAGGAAACAGCGCTAATTAACGATTAGCTAAGTCCCTTCATTGAAGTCCACAGTGGGTGAAGAGTTTTCTTAGGGTAGCTGTTCCCCCCCAACTCAAAACCAAACACTCCACACAAGTAACAGGCTTCTACTTGTCTGTCTAGAGAGAATCTCCACCCGTAAAACACAACTTGAACACACTCTGCCACCGCTGCACCCTTCTACAACTAGAAAGACACATGCACTGTCACACTTACTTGCATATCTGTTCGTATCCTTGAGAAGTTATTAGAACTTTAACACTGGACTCATAAACATCATTTATATTGGACCAGTGGGCCTGAATCTGAGGATCCTCAATACGACTAGCCAGACTGTCAATGGTTCGAGCAGTTCTAGAAGATAAAGACATATTTCATACACAATAATCTAGACAGTTTGTGCTGTTATCTTGTTTAAAGGAAACGAGTAGGTTATTAGTTTGGGTTTTTTTTGTGGCACACCATTAAAAAAAAAAAGGGGCAAATTTAACAGAACAATGGGGATCGAAGTTTTATTTCGGCACCATTCTGACAGGACAAGGGGTAACAGGTTTAAATTGAAAGTGGGGAGGTTTAGATTAGATGTCAGGAAGAAGTTCTTCCCGGAGAGGGTGGTGAGGCGCTGGAACAGGTTGCCCAGAGCAGCTGTGGATGCCCCATCCCTGGAAGTGTTCAAGGCCAGGCTGGATGAGGCTCTGAGCAACCTGGTCTAGTGGAAGGTGTCCCTGCCCATGGCAGGGGGGTTGGAACTAGATGGTCTTTTAAGGTCCCTTCCAACCCAAACCATTCTGATTCTGGTACTAATGAAGCACACTTGTTTACTCTGTATATTAATACTGCTGCAGGATGTATGCGAAAAGTGGTATTCCTGAGCATCGGCTACCAAACAGCAAAGAATACTAAAAAAGATGTATGCAGTTTAAGAAAAGCAGGGACAATTACCAGCAGCCTACATCATAATTGTCACAGATCTGGAAGAAATCTGACTTTTTTTTTTAACTAGCTGAGTGTTGTTTTCTCATATGTCATCATATGTTATTGGTTCTTAGTATTTAAAAATAAAGACTATTTTAACAGTGAAGGAAGAAGTAGTTAGTTTTAAGAAGCCTAAAAAAGATTGAATGTATTCTACATAACAAACCATTTTATTGTAACTTGAAGAAGAATAACCTGTGACCTACCTGCGTCTCAAAAAGATATGTTTTGCCTGCTTTATGATCTTTTCCAGAAGCCCTTCATTTGACTGTAAAGAACTGATATCATTTTTATCAAAAGCCTGGGGCCCGGCAAGTCTCATTCTCTTATGGCCAAAAGGTGCACTAGCTGGGTGGGGCATCACTGTCGAGCTCACGGTTTGCTTGTGACACTGCAACAAACAACACACGTTATAAAAGGAAGTGACCAAGTAACGGATCTGCAAGGAATAATACGTATGCTACAATACGCTGCTCCACATCATTGCAGCTTTCCAGTACCTGAAGGGGCCTACAAGGATGCTGGGAGGGGACTTTTTACAAGGGCCTGTAGTGACAGGACAAGGGGTAATGGGTTTAAATTGAAAGTGGGGAGATTTAGATTAGATGTCAGGAAGAAGTTCTTCATGGCAAGGGTGGGGAGGCACTGGAACAGGTTGCCCAGAGAAGCTGTGGATGCCCCATCCCTGGAAGTGTTCAAGGCCAGGCTGGATGAGGCTTTGAGCAACCTGGTCTAGTGGAAGGGGTCCCTGCCCATGGCAGGGGGGTTGGAACTAGATGATCTTTAAGGTCCCTTCCACCCGAAACCATTCTGTGATTCTATGATTCTATGATCAGGGTTTTTAAGTACTTTCAAAAAGTAAATTTTATTTTATAAACTTGACAGCACTTTAAAATCAGCTTGGCACTCATACTCTGCCTCACATATTCATGTAGCTCATTCAAACCCTATGGAAAGTGATTTTTAAAAAAGGGTGCTAGCTAACAGAACTTTTGGTAGCTGGGCAGTAGCTGTTACTGATAGCTCTGCCTTGTATACATCTCTGGAGACAGACACAAGAGTCAAACAAAAATAATGGAAGCATTTTAAAGATAAAAAAATTGAGGTACAAAAAGATTTAGCTACCTGTTCCAAGTCAAAGGAAATTCACAACAGAGCTGGGCATGAGCCAAAGCTTCATGAAACCCACTTTAGTGTTTAAAACATTGGACTATTCCACATCACTGCATGACTTGCAGAGCCATGCTCTAAGGAGATGAACACTCTCTGGAACACGTTTCACAGCTGCTCAGACATCTAAAATTGTGCTCCTTTCCTGGACAGACACAACCTCAATCTTCTACCCCAGACCCTTCTGCTAGATTATGTAAGAATCTAAAACACTGAAGCAGAGAAGTGGCCCTCAAATAAGCAAAGTTGCTATGGTAATTGATTGTTCTGTCTTCATGGGAGTACAGTCTGAACAGATGCTCACTTAAAGTACTTGACAAGCACGAACTAGACACAAAAAAAGAGACTGATGAGCTGTACTGGAAAAACCTTGCATTGCTTTTCTGAAGCGAGGAGTCAGGCCTGATGTAAAAACCTGAGTAAAGAACTAATAAGGTTCTTAGTAAAGAACTCCCTAAGCACCCGTATGTACTACACCCGAACGGCAGGTCGCCTTACACAAATGGCTGGGAAGTGACTGGCCTCTACCGGCACCCTGTGGTTACAGCACTACATGGAAGTCTGAACAAAAGCCCCGACGGTAAACACATTACCTCTCTGATAAGTTGATGCAAGTTATGTTCCAGCACATAGAGATGATCCTCCGGATTCTGTTTTTCAGAAGCGGACTTCTGTGATTTTTTGTCATTGGAAGAGTGACACAGAGAAATAGACAACTGCAAACCTGCAGAAAGCAGATTAAAACAACATGAGGACACTGACCATTTTCAAGCAAGTTACTGAAAACTGCTTTTTCTTCCCGTTTTATAGTCAGAGGTTTTACAATCAGCATTCACTACCAGAGAAAAATCGAAGAACGATGTTGGAGAGCACAGCACCAAAGACTCGCTACTGAAGCGCTGACAGGCCAACTAATAAATCACTAGGTGCATCTCACACCAATTTCTGTGACTCAATCCCACACAAAAGAGTCCCCAGGACCCCAGTCCTTCCCCAAAGAAGGAATGATTTACCATCACACAAATTTTAAGACATCATGTGAAGAATGTGTGTCTGAATGTCATCAGTTGTGCACTCCTTGTAAGAACAGAGGATTCATCAACCAACTCCCCTTCCATTCTCATGCTGTTTAACGATCCTCATTAAGAGTATCAGCCTCTGCTCCTCTGCAGACCCATTAAATCAAGTCTTAAATTTCACCTGCGTGCAACCCAGGAGCGATGACTTATGCACAGCTCCAAACTGCAATGTGCACGTGGCGTTACATTTGACAGATTTAAGTGCTACTGACAAAACCCACAATCACAATAAAAACAATCCAAAATCCACACAATAACAGGAGTAAATCAGAAACTGAAGTGCTTTAGTTGAATGTTTCTATAATTAGCAAGCAAAATTCACGTTCTGGGAAATTGTGTTTTTCAAAACCTTTGAAAAACAAGGAGGTTACTTCCCTCTCGCCCAATTTTCAGTTCATGTTTAAGCAAATAATTGTAGGTCAAAAAGTCTTAAGAAGTTTCCTACCTGGGAAAGGCTGGGAGATGATTTGGTTTTTCACAACAATGTGAGGAATTTGTGATTTGATTTGAACAGCTTCTCGTGACAGCTGGGCAAAGATTTCTTTACACAAAAGAACATTCTGTGCAGTCTCCAACTTTGTCTGCCAGTGGGGAGAACCTGAAAAATAGGAATCAATGTTTGCAGGAGGAAAGGGTAAAGAGAAGCTACACAGGTAGCTTCACATACCAGGTACTGTGCAGTAGCCACAAGTAATCACTGAGATATGGTAGTCGGTATTTTCTACCCAAACTGAGTGGTTTCAGGATTTTCACTCAGTCAAGCGAGCACTTTAAGGTAACACTGGTGCATTTTACTTCGATTTTACGTGTTACGTACTGTGAACTGCACCTCCCTTCTGGCACATTCTCAGGCCTTTTGTGAACTCTGCTTACAATACCCTGCTTCTCGAGTTGCAGTTTACTTTCCATGATACTTGTAGCTTTATTAAATGCACTCCACAATGAACTACCAAATAATGTTAAATTCATGTTCGTGCTTTCAAAGGATTTACAGGCCCCAAATTCTTGGAAGATTCTGGTCTGACAAAGTACACAAGCTCTGTGCTGTACCCTGAATACCATATGAAACATCTACTTAATAAACCACCCTGTCTATGTGCAAGACAGCACAAGCATCCGTGTCCCAGATCACTGTGAAACACAATCCTGACAGTTCTTTTTATTCCTAAAGAGTTAAAGACGAATTTTTAACCCCAAAAGTTTACACCTTCAGATACTGTCACATCTCAAATGACTCAAGCTACCACCTCCCAGGTGAGCTGTTGGGAGTTAATGCACGTGCTGCCAGCACACTTTCAGATTCGGAGAAAAACATAGGAGCCACAGGAAGAAATTATGTCTTTTGGGCAAATTTAAGAGTGAATGGACAGTTAGTCCAGTTGAGACACGATACCTCAGTTTGCTTTTGGTTACGTGCTCAAACTCTTAATGATTAATGAAAGGTGCTCCAGAATACCTAAAATACAATCCTAGTAATTTTATTTCAGAAATTAAGTAGCCACATATGAAAAAACTGAAAGATGACACTCTGAAAGTATCTTCTTTCCAAAGCCCAAGCAGCACCAACACAGGAAATCTCAGCTTAGGGAAGAATACCCTTGTTGACTCTTCTCTCAAACTAGAATTTTCAAATAAACATCAGGTGCAAACCCATTTCTTGAGAACGTGCTCAGAAAACAACATAGAGCTAGCTATACCTGGTTTTGATCTTGCCATGGGTCTTTTAAAAAGATTGACTGTCCCAAGGTCACCAATGTCGAGAGCTTGTTTCTGAATAGAAACCTAGGCAAAAGAGACCATTATTTGATACTTGTTCTTTGCTGCAAGCATAAAAAAAAGCCCATGCTATGTTATTAAAGTTTCTCTGGCAAACCTTTATGTAGGCTGATCCTTCTAAATCACTTGGAATTTGAACATCCAAAGGACAGTAATCCTCAGGTATCTTTTTATCTAAGTCAATGTCAGTGTTCTTTATCACCTCAAATGTGCCATGATGAAGAAAAAGGGAGCCTAAGAAAGGAAGGACAAAGACACACATACTATAAAGCACCTTCTGCAAACAATGATGCTCACACCTCCCATTTTGGAAGAACGTGTATTTCTAAGTCTCCAAACCTCCATAGTTGCGCTTGACTCAAATTCCTTACCGAATTCTTAAAAAAAAACGGGTAAATTAGAAAGCTGATTTCAGCACACCAGCATCTCAGTTCTTCAGTGTGTGACTGTGTAATATTTTACAGTAAGTTAGCAGGTAATACTTATAGTTATGGGAGAAAACCAACAGTGTTTCAAAACAGTGTCAGAAGAAGTGGGAGAAAAAAGGGTATTTGCTTAAAACAAGGTGTGCTGGATTCAGTCAGGAAAGTTAACTCTCTTTACCGTGGCTGCTAGGAAGCTGTTCCTGGATGCAGAGAGCAGCACTGATAAGTTCTCAGCTGGCGCTGGGCAATGCCTGCACTGAATTCAAGGTCTTTCTCCGCTTCTGACACTGCAGCTGCGTTCCCAGCTCTCGCGGTCTCGCTACAGGCAGTGCTGGGACACACAGTTCAGGCCCCTGACCCCAACTGACCAAGGGAGTATTTCATCCCATAGTACGTCATGCTTGGGGCAGGGGTGAGGAGGGGGTCCGGTCGCCATTACTCTCCCTCCCTGACTCTCTCTGGTTCACTCCCGTACGCCTGCTGATCCTCACCCTGACTCCTGCGTTAGCTGCTTCGCTAACTCCTGTGCTGGCTGGTTTGTGAGGGAGTTGGTGGGTATCCATTCTCAAAAAAAAACAAAGACCCTACTCTTTACCTGCACTTCTGTAACTCAGATCCCCAAGAATTTTGTCTCCCACTTTTCTCAGCTTCCAGTGTTGTCTCAGTCTCAGCAGTTCAGAGTTGAAGTCTCTTTGTCGCTTATTTTCCTGGCTTTCCGCAACCGATTTGGATAATCTTTCCGCACCTTTCAACAGGATTTGAGCTGCTCCAGCTAATGACTTCTTTTTTGAGATCAACTGTAGAAACTGAGGATTCTAGTAACAAATAAGGAGAAAAACTTCTTGTATCTTAATTCTCAAAAAATTATTATTAGTGGAACTAATTGACTAATTGACAGTGACTAATAACTTTGTTTTCCCTGGATGTTAAGTAACTTATTTAGAGTAACTTTCAGCCCAACATCATTTAGCCACAAGTAGCATTTTGACTTAGAGCTTCAGCAAAGAGGCCTTTGAAATCAGCCTCACCTCCCATTCTCAGCCTTCCCCGACCAATAAGGCACTGCACCAACACATCACAAGCCACGTTTCACTAAATCTTGTACGCGTCGCACGTGAAAAATGCCAGTGGAATAAAATCTTTTGTACCAAACCATCACAACTACATAATTAGGTACAATATACCTGTTTTGGAGGAAGGGGATCCTGCACAACTGGATCTAGAGTCATGAACTTTTTATCCTTGACGATACTAAGAACATCATACAACACACACATCTCAGTCAAGGCGCTTCTTAAGTTGTTCCTCACTGAATCCCAAGGCCAGAGGGATGGCTGAAACTTTACCAACCCTAAAAATAAAACAAAAGAAGGGAAAACAAAGGACTGTAAAAAGATACAGTGTAAGGTTCATTCTTAAACCACAGAGATCATAATTATAGAACCACAGAATGGTTTGGGCTGGAAAGGTCCTTAAAGACCATCTAGTTCCACCCCCCCTGCCATGGGCAGGGACACCTTCCACTAGACCAGGTTGCTCAAAGCCTCATCCAGCCTGGCCTTGAACACTTCCAGGGATGGGGCATCCACAGCTTCTCTGGGAAACCTGTTCCAGTACTCCCCCTCACCACCCTCTCCAGGAAAAATTTCTTCCTGATATCTAATCTAAACCTCCCCACTTTCAGTTTAAACCTGTTACCCCTTGTCCTGTCACTACAGGCCCTTGTAAAAAGTCCCCCCCAGCTTCCTTGTAGCCCCTTCAGGTACTGGAAGGCTGCAATAAGGTCTCCCCAGAGCCTTCTCTTCTCCAGGCTGAACAAGTCCAACTCTCTCAGCCTGTCCCCATAGCAGAGGTGCTCCAGTCCTCTGAGCATCTTTGTGGCCGCCTCTGGACTCACTCCAACTGGTCTGTATCCTTATGGTGGGGCCTCAGAGCTGCCCAGCTTCCTTGTAGCCCCTTCAGGTACTGGAAGGCTGCAATAAGGTCTCCCCAGAGCCTTCTCTTCTCCAGGCTGAACAAGTCCAACTCTCTCAGCCTGTCCCCATAGCAGAGGTGCTCCAGTCCTCTGAGCATCTTTGTGGCCGCCTCTGGACTCACTCCAACTGGTCTGTATCCTTATGGTGGGGCCTCAGAGCTGCAGGCACAACTGCAGGTGGGGTGTCACCAGAGCAGAGTACAGGGGC